GCTATTATGCTGTCAGCCTTTTTATTAGTATGTCGTAGACCTAACAGTTGTGAGACAGCATGTTCTCAGACCACGCTGGCAACAAGACAAGCACATGCACACATACTGTGTCATTATGCTGGTGTGGAGAGTGCCAAGCTGTCATGTCATAGGCAGAGCATCGGTCCGCTGACTCCTGGAGTGCTTCCTCTCAGCTCTGCCCTCGCTGCTGTGACTCATGCATGTCCTATGTGCTGCTAAATACCATTCATTTTGACAACTCCGGAATCTGCTTTGTAATGAGTATTTTTTTTGTGTTTTTTTTCATCACGATATTTGACCTACAGTTAGTTTAACTTTAAGCCATGGTGCTTTTGCTGAAGAAACCAATCTGAATCTGGCATCAGTTGAAAAACACTCCCATCGGTACATTGCTATCTTATAAAATCATCATTATTGCTATAATAGTATAGACCATTTTGAGGGATGTAAACAAAAGCAATGGTCCCAACGTATTTCCTGTATTTCCAACGTATTTTCTGCAGCTTCCGAGAATCCAAAAAGAGCCACATATTGATAAATATTGTTATGAAAGCAGTTTTAACATTTAAGTTAAGATTGAATTGCCTCTTGTTACTGTTATGAAATGGTTTAATAACAAGCAGGAAATGTTCATGGGCCAATGACTTGACCACATTGAAATGGTCTATATGCAATGTCCCATATCGTAGTGAAGTGCGAAAAGTTAAATACATTTTCTGGGCCAAGCATTTGTCTTCTAGATGCATAAAGGTTTATCCAAATCTTGCCAATCAGATGGGATCTTGCCGATCTTCATTCCCGCCTCTCCATCAGGTGCTGTTACTAGAGCTACAAATAAATACTAATTCTGGGAGACGAGAGGAAAATGACAATAGCCTATATAAATCCAAATTTCTGCTTAGGTTTTCAATCATTTATGGTGTTTAAGTCTAAATATTTGCAATTAATTTACAATTAAAATAATAGCTTAGAAAAAGATCTATTATCTTATTATTTTAGTTTTTATCATAACATTAATTTATTTTACTTGCTATTAAAGTAGCATTTTACAAGTTAGTGTATAGTAAAAAATAACTATCGCAACACTCAACAACAATATTGCAACTAGGGTTGTCACAATACTAGAATGTGGTACCAATCGATACTGAAGTTTTAAAAGCGTCTATTTCAAACGTACATTTGAGCGCTGCTGAGCACGTTCTTAAACAGCGCTCATTTGCTATTGTGTTCACGTGCTCAACAGAAATGACTGTGATTGGCCGCGAAGGTCATCAGTTTGCTGAACTCATCACTGTTTACTGAGTGTAACCACAGATACAGGGACACTGAAGTGTTTTAGTCATGTCGATCAGCTGGTTTGTTTATAAGCTGTCATATGAGCGATCCGCTTATGAATCACGGCTTTAAATCGCTCCAGTGTACCTGTATCTGTGTTTACACTGAGTAAACAGTGGTAAATCATTAATTCAAATAAATCATTAATTTTGTCTTCTTTTGGACCGTACCAAACAACAATTGAACTGTATTACAAGTGGGGAGCGAACTTGGGTTGCTAAGCCACTTTGATGCATAATTAACAATGCATTAAAATGAACACTGCAAAATTGCACATATTCCATCCAGTGGTGATGAAACCTTAAACTCTTTTTCTGTTTCCATTTCTTGTTTGTCAGTTGTGCTTTACTTCAACATCCTCTTGCTTCCCCCCTCTTCCATGGCCTTTAGATTGCATAAGGCACAGTGTGGGTTTGCTGTAACATGAACTAGGATGCCCAGTCACAAGATCAAATCCGATCCGTCCCACCATCCCCACCGCACAGCATGTGAAGTCTGTACATCGTTAGCTGCTGATGGTTTTCTTTTTTCACTGGTGTGACATCAAAGTACAATTTAATTGAACAAATATTTAAATTAGTCAGCAGCACCAATTTTCAAAAATGTCATGTGGGTCTTTTGTCATCCAATTGACAAGAAATGAAAAGTCACTCTTATTTCTAATGCTTGTTATAGGTCTTGTTGGTGTCCATGTTTTCTAATGATGAGGAAAACAGCTCAAACATTGCGCAAATACAATTAGTAGAGCTTTTCATTCAAACAAATTGCCATCTATATTATCATGCTCTCACTGTAGTAGTGACACCAGATGGGTGTCAGGAATGCATCATACTGATTTAATGTATTAAATATATAATAGAACTACAGTATTTTTGTTATACCATATTGTGCATTTAATATGAACTGTATCTCTTTAGGGTTTAGAGTCACAGTATTAGAAAATATAAAATTTGGCTCCTTTTTTATTTATTTTTTTGCTTTTGTAGTCATCTTGGTCATGATGATTAAGTGTATAAAAGATGAGATTGAAAAGTTTTTACAGAAGGTGCTGTTCTTGGTAATGAAAATAAATTAGCTTTTATTTTTTAACTACTGTTAAATGTACATTTATAGAAAACAACTTTTATTATTAGTAGTGGTGTAATGGATCAAGGTTGATTCAAATCATGGGTTGTGATCCGTACGAATCACGGAACTCTCATGACCTGTGTGGATTAATAATTTTATTTGCTTTACTAAGTTTGTATCTATCGCGGAGAGATCACTTCTAGCGTAATGTAAATCACGTGTATAAAAGCATTTAGGCTTTCCTGTAAAATATTATTATGACGGAAGAAGTTGTGGTAGGTTATTCGGAATGTGGTGGGTTTTTTAGGTTATTAAAGGTGTTTTCTGTCACTACTCGTTTAGCCTGATTTATGCATTCAGTGTAAGCTGCACAATTAATCGTTAAAAGATCAGGATCTCAACACCCACGCAACAAATAATAAATGATGATGATTTGCATATGTTTATTAATCCTTCGAATCACTGCATTCAAATCTGTGTTTGAAAAACACAAAAATCAATAAAGAGATGAGTTGTGAAGTTACAAACATTCGGATATCACAGAAGTACTGGGATAACAGTTTATAGTTTAGATAAAACCACCGATGTTTATGGTAAAGATTAAAATCACCGTAATATGCATTTAACTTGACGATCCTAAAGAAAAGTTGTAGGCAGCAATTACATTATTTAACCAATAGGTGGTGACAACCAGCCATCAAAATATGCCACTGAATAATTATTTATAAATGACACATCTAGCAATGAAACATGAAGTTTTATGAGTGAGTAACTAAATCATATATTGAAAATCAGACTAAAAATAAATATGGGTTGTACAAGTTGTTAGATTTATGCATTCAGCATTATTAGCAACAGTAGTAGTAACAGTGCATTTTTCACAGTACTGAATATTTTACATTTTATTTTTATTCAGCTGATTATTTCTTAATTTTATTTTTAATAAAATTACAGGTTCTAAGTTATGTTTCCTTAAACCAAAAGTTTCCTGCAGTACTCTTTTTGTAATAAATGAAAGCAAATTACATTTGTCTCCTTCCCTTTTGGGCTGATCTGAAACGCGGTCTGAAACACATGCATTTAGATGGAGTAGCATTAGCTACACAGTTGTAGATGACTGATATGCAACACAAATATCAGTTTTAAATTTTAATTTGATTTAATGGGTCGATTATGACATCGAGATAATCATTCTGTGATAATGGCACCTTCTTCCTTAGCTTCTCAATTAACTATAGCTGCTTTCCAAATGGCACACTATGCACTTATGCACTATGTACTTATGCACTTACACAATCAACAGTATAGTATATGTATGCGGTGTTGTCCCAAGTAAAGCACTAATGTTTTTTTACTAAGCGAAAGTGCAAACTGTTTTCCTGATGACTTTTGACGGTTGCTAAATTAGTGAAATAAATGACCACCAAACCAGCTGCCATAAGTATAACCGTATTTATCACAGAGAGGCTATAGTCACACTTAGGAGAATTTTGCTTTCACAATCCAAAATAAATAATCAACATTAGTGCCCAAAAGCTCTGCCCCTTCTGCTACGTGAACAAAGCTGCGTCTGTTGAGTGCGTGAAGTGTCAAACAGAGTTTAGTGTGAAAGCACTACTTGCACTATTTACACTACAAAATGCCATAGAGTAGTACATAAGTATGCTATTTGGGACGCACATTATGGCTCTGTGTAGTAAATGCCACATAACGTGCCACATAATGTGTTTACTCACCTCATGACTTCAGTCAAGTGTTTAAAACCATTCCTTCTTTGAGAATTCTGTAGTCGTGTGAATATTAGTCACACTACATCAATGAAAGCAGTTAAATCTCTTGTTTATAATGCAAAGCTATGGAGATTTCCTGGGTTTCTTCTTCGTGGGTATTTGGAGTTTCCGTGAGAGCGTCATCTTGCCTTCGGAGGAGATTTACTACAGATCACAACATGCTTTCACTACAAGATGTGCATGACCATCTCAGCTTTGCGTAATCATGTTTGCAATTTGAATTTACCTAGAATCTTTGAATTATCATTAATTTGACATGTACGTTATACAGTGCTACCAAATCAGGTGCTTGTGCCACCATTAGTTGCACCAGTTCCAATGCTTTCAGGTTAATCTGCCCGGTGTTCTGCTGCAGATGTGTGTTCTGCTGTGTTCTGTGTGAGAGTTCTAATAGAATGGCCACTAAATGTGATTGTCTGCAGTGAGTGAGTGAGTGAGTGACAGCTGGGTTCTACCGTCACCATGGTTACCACAGTTGGTTGCCTCTCTTTGTTCTGTTGGAGTGGCCAGACTTTGGTTAGCATTAATGTAGTATTTTGTTTGCATCATTAGAGCCCATTCAATATTAGAGGGTTTCACTGTGCTAGTGTGTGAGCAAATCACTTGTGAATTTGAACAAAAAAAGTATTAAGCTTCAAATAAAAGCAGAGTAATGCAATAGCAACAATCCACAATGCTTTTGCAATGGAATATGAAGTTTGAATTGTATTCGTTTTTTTTTTCATTTTGTTGCATGTGTTTGACCTAAGATGAGTTAACAAACCTATTTCTCTTATTCTTTTTCAGACGATGCGAAGACATCGTAATGAAGTGACAGTAGAACTGAGAAAGGTAAGTTGACTGTTAATATGGCTCAAATTCTGTTATATTTACTGTTTTTGCGGATTCATCCTTGTTACGTTTTACTCTTCACGAAAGTATAAAAGCTACAGTGCGCAGCTGAACATTGCATTCTGTTGCAATACATGTGACTCATCAGAGAATGTTGGTTGAAATAAACCAGACTTTCTGACAAACACTGGATCTTCTTTAGCTTTTTTTCATTCCTAAATAGCTGTGCAGCAGCATTAATATGTTTATTGTGGAGATTCCCAGTAGCTTGTGTTTAGAGTTTCTCAGGCTTATTTTGGATTGTGCGATACAGCTAAAACCGTCATTTCTTGATGTTTATTTTTTCAATATTCAATAGGAACATTAATGTTTCCTCTAAATTTGTATTAATGATCTGTGAACGTTTAGTCACTGGCTCATCATTTTGAATTGATTCAATTAAATGGACTTTTAGCCAGTGTTCATTTTGACAGCAAATTTTGATGTAGTTTTAGTCTTAATTAAAATGAGATTTTAATGTGTCATATTTAAGTCTTCTGAATCATTTTAGTTTGTCTAACTTTAGTCGTCGAAGTTTGTTAAGCTTTTAGTTGAGTAAATCTACTCTAGATTTAGTCGACTAAAATATATTTGGTTTAATTTAAGTATAGTTGAAATAAAATAATGTAAACATTTATTATGGGCAGCACAGTGGGAAGCGCTGTCGCCTCACAGCAAGAACGTCACTGGTTTGAGCCTCGGTTGGGTCAGTTGGCATTTTTGTGTGGAGTTTACATGTTCTCCCCGTGTTGGCGTAGGTTTCCTCCGGGTGCTTCGGTTTCCCCCACAGGTCCAAAAACATGTGGTATAGGTGAATTGGGTAAGCTAAATTGTCCGTTGTGTATGTGTGTATGTTCTGGTCCTCCAGGTTGGGGTTGAGCGTTGTGTGAGTAACAGGGTTCATGCGGTTGTGGAAAACCTGGAAAAGTCATGGAATTTTAACATGGCATTTTCCAGGCCTGGAAAAGGTTTGGAAAAACAGAATAACCCATTAAGTTTTGGAAAAGTCATAAAAAACAATTGTTTTTATACTTGAATACAGGTTATTTACTTATTTTCTTTCCTTGGCCAATCACACACTTTCATATTATTAGTGCAGTGTAAGCACTATCTAAATAAATTTTACATGTATATAAATATAAATTGCTGTGTGTTTTACGATATGCTGTAATAAATTTGAACATGCATTGTTTTTCTTTTATCACGCATTAGGTCATGAAAATGGACTTGAAAGTCTTATAGAATTATAGAAACATAGAATTATGTAGAAATCATGGAATTTTAGTAGTAAAAATATGTATGAACCCTAGTAAGTAAACAATTTTACAAAATCTTCTAACCTAAAATTAAATGAAACTTCAAATTAAATTTAATAAGTCTCATTAAAAAAATAGAATATAGCTTTTCCATTGAAGACAAAAAATTACATCTGCATTGTTTATTTATATCACAAGGAATATGTCAAATTATGTTTCGGCAATCAATCCACATGAACAGTAGCTATCTGAAAATGCAGGTTTGTGCAATCATTTAGCAATCCCATTATTTTAACAGGGTAAACTACTTGTCTTTTTGACCAGTCTGTTGAACCGTTTCGAGCCAATAAATCTTTGAAAGGGCTTAAAATAGTTTAAGTTAACTTTGCAATGTCCGTCTATAGCAAGCTTTACTGTTGTAGTTGGTGTTATAAGACATTGTGCTCATCTATAGCACTGATTAAAGAAGTAGAGTAATGATGTAGCATCCAGTGTCTACTGTGGACCAGCTACTTTTTCAAAATGTGCATGTGTGTCATGCATCACACACCAAGAGCAATTCTGATTGCCTATTCTTCAAAATACATCCCTCAATCATATTCTCGTCTCAATTTTATTAGTCCACCTAAATGTCAGTATATTTTTTTTATAGTTGTCTTCATCAGCACTTATTTTTTATTTAGTTTTTGTTGGTAGAAACTTGTTCGTCATAATTCAGATAAATATTTCATCAACTAAATTAACAGTGGTTTTAACTGATTTGCAGTAATATTTTTGCTATACGGACGAATCAAAGATGCCATTAAAATGCTTTATTTAATTCACAAGTCTTTCAGACTAGCCCGACACAGTCTTTAGGAATCATAAAGTATATAAAAAAAATTTTACAGTGTCATTTTTCATTATAAAGTATAATAACAATAGTGTCATATAAATGATTATAAATATGCTGCCACTATTCAATAACACCCAGTCATAATATTATTTGGGAGGTATTGCATGCAGTCCCACTGACTGACCCGTCTTGTGGTCTTCTACTGACGTCACTTGATGTGTTTAAGTCCAGTGGCAGTGTTGTGTATGTGTGTGTGAGAGAGAGATGTGCATCACTGCTAGAAATAGAGGAGCATCTGTAGCTTAAATATGGCCTCTTTCTGGAGTCTCTTCATGCATTACAGTAGATTTAAGCTGGTGGTGACTGCATGTAAGTGTGCAAGGATGCTGTGCTATTTTCTTCATTTAGGATGAACCCTTTTCACATTTCTACATTTCTTCATTCACACATTTTAGCGGGGCGTGTGTATTTTTCGCAAGCTGGTTTGCGAGGGGGGCAGGGCGGAGCCGAGGATCGGCTCAGCATCGTGTTTTCTATTGGCCATTGCCCAACCCTAGTCTGTTTTCTTTAAAAATCAGCAATTTCCACTGGCTGAGTGATATCCGATATAAAGTGGGTCTCAGATTGTACAAGAAGCACTGCATTAAATGACATTTTTCCCTGCCAAGTCTTTAAAATATGAACTTTTATTTTACCCCAGCATATTCAATGGAGCTTCTGCGCTAGCCTGCTTATCTTGACGGGCGCGAGCGTGTAAATGGCTTTTTATCTTGTTTTACGCTCGAGCAACTAAATGAATGCCAAAGTCTATTAAACTGATTTTATTGTAATTACAATACAACATCGATGCTGTAAAAGGAACCGCATAAAATGGAAAAAAGTCACATTAACCGTTCATCGAAAGTTTTTTATTATGGGTATAGTTTTCAGACATATCTCTGCATATACCCTATTAAGGCCACTTAATTCCCATTCCCACTGCTGATTCACTAGTATCTTTCAAAGACAACTAAATACTCATCTCTTCTGTGATTATCCGAGCACATAAGTATAAAAAATAAAAAAAGCACCCTCTTCTTACTCTATCTCTTAATTCTCTTAGCATTTCCTTTGTACACTGTAAAAAATGTAGGGCTCTGCACAATTCCTTCATGTTGCCCCAACACAAATCGATTAAGTTAACTTAATAATTTGTACAAATTTAAGTGAATTGAACAGAAAACAATTTATTGTTCCAAACAAAACTTACTAATTCGATGTTGGTTCAACTCGTATTAAACAAGTAGTTTGAACAAGCAGCAAAAGTTATTTCTTAGGTGTGTTGCCTCTTCTTGTTGAATTGCTGAATGCCTCCTCAATTCTTAGTTACTTTGGACAAAAACATCTGCTTAATGACTAAATGTAGATGTAATTTAAAGTGGGACTGAATGTCATATTGCTTTGTACTACCCAAAATAAACATTTAAATTATATCTATACTAAATTACAAAAAAACAAAAAACAATGACTAGTTGGCTGTGATTTTGTTATTGAAGCTTTCACATGGCTTTGTTCTCTCGGCTGGTGGTTCTGTTGATCTACTTTACACTTGCAGAATTTGGGTCACTCCATCCATGGTCACGGGGCCCCTGTCTGGCTGCTCCCCAAAATGAGGGGCTTCCCTCATCATTCACCCCTCCTCCCTTCCCGTTGACAAGGATCTCAAAACCTCGCTAGAACTATTTGTTTTTTTGCACCTAATAACAAACCTAACAGAACCCTGCTCGATTAAATAGCGTGACGTCACCAGAGGCAAAGCTCCCTTAGGACAAATGCGTACCATCATGCTTTGTGTCACAGTGTGAGTAGGCAGGAACCCCCTGATGTTGATGTGGAGCAGAAGTTCAGTCCCCGGAGACTTGTTGTTTTTGATTCATTTTCTGTTGGATTGGGTGACACAGCATGTCCTGTCCATATTTGGCGGCCCAGAGGATTCGGACAGAATGCGGCTGTACTGCTCTGTGTGTGTGTTTGTGTGTGAGACATTCCTCTTCGCATTCCTGTTTGCTCTAACATTACAGTCGCAGACCGCTCACACACACTTTAATTTCTCTCACTGCCTAGAAGCAGAAGGGACTTTCTGCCAGTCAGTTATTTTCAATTTTTCAAGGGTTTGTTATTATGTTGTTTATTTCACTAAAGTCAGCAGTAAAATATCCCGTTAAGTGCTCGTATTGTGAGATACTAGAAATGACTTGGAAAAACCGATAAGAGTTTGGTACTCCGTGGCAACGCACTGTAATTTCTGAACTAAACGTTTCCTCTCTGTTAAATAAAGGCTAGACATTTAGACAAGTGTTTCTCAACCATGTTCCTGGAGGACCACCAACACTGCATGTTTTGGGTGTCTTCTTTTTTTGTCACACTCATTACAGGTCTTTCAGTCTCTGCTAATGAGCTGATGATCTGAATCGGGTGTGTTTGGTTAAGGAGACATGGAAAATGTGCAGAGCTGGTGGTCCTCCAGGAATGTGGTTGAGAAACACAGATACAGGCTGCCTCCGAAATCGCCTACTACTCAGTAGGTACTGCATTTGAATTTAAATGTACTACATGTTAAAAAAGTACGTTCTAGTATGAATGCGCGGATGTACTACATCCGTCATTTTGTCAAGGTCACGTGGCCTACCTGCATCAGTCGTGTCTCTTCACTTCCATTCATGAATTCTCTCGCGGGGCATCATGGGATAGTGTAGCATCCATCAGATGTACACTTCAAAATATTGTCGGAAGTAGTGGGTCATCCGGGTACTTCTCGCATACTGTTTTTCGAAATCTATGTATTCGGGCATACTACTCTGCTCGCATAGTGTTTTTAGTGTACTATATAG